CATTGCAAGACTGAAAACCCTACAGAAAACATACACAACGACGATAACCACTCGCATATGGAAGAATCTCATACGTAAGCATGGAAACGGAAGTGAAAGATGTGAAGCTTGCTTGCTTGTTTGCTGTTGTCAATGAGGAAATCACCTTTGAGCTAAGAGACAATTTCCCAAAGCAGCTTTTCAATTATTTGCAGGTAACAACAACTTTAAATACCACAATAACAACAATGACTTCAGCAACAAATTTTGTGATTTTTTCCATCACCTTTAGTTAATTTTTAAAATGTTCATAATGTAGAAGAAATTCACTATAATTTTCTTTTTTTTTTGTTTTTTCCAAATTGCTACTGAAATTGTCCTGCGCGTTGCTAGAGCACTGCTAACATTATTTGCCCTTTAAGTAGGTCTTTTTTCAAAGGCATTTTCCAGAGACTTTATTATGCCCATCAACTCAAATAAAGGAGAATATTTTTCATTTCCATTTTAAAGCAAAAATTATTTCAGGCGATTTTATATTTTATTTTCGTTATTTTAAATCGAAATATTTAAGTCAAGCGTAGTTTAAGTTTATAAGTAGCTTTTGCCGGCTTACTTCTTTACGCGACCGTCTAGACATTTTCGTAGTATAGAAGTGTATTAAGGATTTCTCAGTTGTCCTGTCAGAATAGGTAATGGGACTGACTACTCAAGTTGAATTTAATCCTCACCAAACAAAAAGCAGAAATAGATAAAAAAAAACTAACAGAACCAAAATTTGAATTGCTAATGACGTAGAAATCGAAATTTTATTAATGTCGTTATTGGTAAATAAACAAAATATATTGCACACTTGTCTATTTCTCAAAACATCCATAAAATAATAAACAGTCTCGATGAGCAAATAATTCTACTTACTGTATGTATTTATCTGAATTTAGGTTTAAAATTTTATTTACAATTAAAATATCATCTATGATGAGCTTTGAAGTTTTTGGTTTTCGCATTTTGGCCATGGTCTTCTTATCTGACTACGAAACATCCATTGAAGTTTTATGAACTCGACTTGACAGCAATTATAAACTTCATATCAACTGTCACAGAGCAATTACCATAATGTCAACAATAATAAAAAGAAATAAATAAAAAATTTTTATTATTCCCTGCATTTTTTGGTATCGTAAAACAATCTTTGAATTTTTAGCAATTTCACTTCCAGGCTTTGATATAAACATTTCATTTAAAGTGAGTTTGATTGAAATTGAAAATTGTATTTTCACCTTAGAGTGAACTGAGATACAAATAAATTGCAACAGAAAAGTGTTGAGGAATGGAAATTGAGACTAACAAAACTGCATGGTGCAGTGATGACAAAGAGCATATGAAGAACTTTCACAAAAATGATGAGTTGCTCTTCTGTCTATGAAGATTGTTGCTTTAGTATATTTAAGCCTTTCTTTTGCTTTTCCATATCGAAAAAGTTACTAGTGTTGAACTTAGAAATAAAAGCAAATAGCAAATAAAAGAAAACTTCGACTAAAAAAGCTTCAATGAATTGGTTTCGCTTAGTTTGTATAGATATTTGAACCTCTGGGGAAACATTATATATGAAGAATACTTGCCTACTTTGATTAGTTGGCCATTACAGACGTTCTTGGCCACGTTCGGTAATCTCCGCTAATCAGTCTGATAAGTGGTTTAATGTCACCAGTTGGTAGTGCAGAGTACCCCCAAATCGTTAGTTACCTACCTGGTTCTTCTACCGAATATGCAGAAGAGGTCCACTTCCGCGTTTTACACCTGCGGTTACTGAATCAAACGCCTTTCTAGCCACAGCACATTCTTTCATTATATGAAGTATATGAAGAATTTAATACGATAAATGCCACAAAATAGAATTCCATCTTATTTATATTAGATTGTCCTACAAACTTTTGTAAGAAACGCCAAGCATTGTTTTTATTTATAGTTGGGTAGATCGAAATAAACTAACTTAAAAATTAACTCAGTGTCGATAAAGACAGAATTGGAAAGGCAGTAGTGGAGTAACATTACGAACGTACGGAAGACAGGCCAACAAAATAGATAAAATATGTAATTTCTAAAGAAGACTGTTCCGTTGCAGTGTTTTGATATTACTTTACAATTTATTGATGACATTTTGCAAAACCCATGCCGGATTTAATCAACTGAAATCTTAAAAAAATTTTCTCTAATTTTCTAAATTACTGCAAAATGGTCTTGATAAGATAATGGTCTTGATAAGTATGCGAAAAATTGTTTAACCTTAGTTTGCTTCATCCAAATGGCAAATATAATACTTGCATCAACAGCCAAAGTAATCTTTGGGGATTCTGCTTTCAGAAGGCAATATGTCGATATATAACTGCACGACAAAAACACTAAGTTTCAGAACTATTCCTATACCTGGGAAGAAAAAACAAAGGATATTATACGGAGTCAAATTTCTGCTTAGTTTATCACATATCTCATTGCTTTTGGTGAACCTGAAGTTGTATCAATATAAGAATTGTCTGAACTTAACGTAAAACAATTTGGAAATGATAGGAATTTTATTAGAATATTTTTATCCTATTAAAGGTGCTATAAGTAGGAAGACAACGAAAGAATTGCATATACAAAACACTAATTCTCTATTGTGGAAAGGGAACTGAATGTGTCATACTTAGAATACTTTAGGTCACGATAATATATATATTCTTTGTAAGTAATAACAATAACAATTATCATTTTCTACGTTGTGAAGAAACCACACTTGCACTGGAAAGTGTAAGAGCATCCTCGAATAGTTTCTAAAAGGATTTAGCAACCTATTGGAATTGGCTAGTATATGCTTTAAACGAAAGGAGCACAAGACAGAACATCGATTGTAGTGTCAATTATATATCACAATTTGTAAAGTTATAGTGATATTATTTAAAATTTCATACACTATAATGATTCTTAAAATCTTCTTTTTTTGTCTGAGACGAATGTGTTCATCTGTTGTATTATACATAAAAAAAAGTTATTCGTGTAGTTTATAATACGAAAGGTGTGAGATACACCTCACCTTGATTAAAAGAACACAATTTAAATATTTCATATACATTAAATTGATTTTTAAGGTCCGTTTTGACAAAAGAAACTAAGTTCTTAATATAAACTATTAATTTTAATAGAGACAGTCGGGAAATTGCAACAACAAAAATTTTTTTTTATTATTTTTAATTAATTGAACTTTTGGCTAATCATACAGATTTTTTAAGTATTCTTTATATATATAAATATTAAAAATTTTTTTAAATATTTTCATAGATTTAATTTATGTTTTGTTAACTTATTTTAACAAATTTACTAAATAAGCATATTTTATGTAACTAAAAACTTTAAAGGACCTCATTCAGACTACAAGAAGTGAGGTATATGACAATCAAATTTTTCACATTTGACTGAATCAAATCAAAGTTTGAAGTCAATAAAAACAAACTGATTTGAAATTCCTCTTCAAAGTTATATTGTAGAGAGCATTTCTTCTCAACACCTTTGTGTCCCCTTTTTTTTCCAACAGAATACAAACGATGGAAAGTTTTTCATATCTTTAAAAAAAAAAAAAACTGATAGTTGTTTTGTTGAAGAACTTTTGTATATTTTTGATGAAGTCAATTTTGGCAGTTTTGACAAAAGACTGGTTAAAATTTCAGCAGCGGCGGCGAGTGAACGCGATGCCATATATAGAAATCTAAAATGCTCAGGATAACTTTAAATGTCGCATAATTTTCTATGTCAACAAAATCTACAAATAAGAAAAATGCCACAACTTTGTCTTGCTTTGTCTAAGCAAGCGAAAAGTTTTTCTTCCTACTTCGTTGTATTCTTAGACAACTGAGAGGATACATAGGCTTCAGCATTACGGGAATTCACGGGCGGCTGAAGAAACCAACAACAACTTCTTGAGCCAACAAATTTGGTTGAAATCGCAACGACCACGAAATGCTTAAACTACCGCAACTAATAAACTTTTCACGTTGTCCTCCGCCCGCAAACAGCAGCGTCATTTTCCAGCTGTCGCAATGGGAAATTCAACTCCCACTCCACTCCTTCCTTTTGACATCCTTTCTCTTCTTTCAGTTGTTATTTTTGTTGAGCGTTTATTTTGTTGTTGCAAATTACGCCATTTTTGTTTACAAATTCTTGATGTTCCAGTGCGAGTTCGAAATTTTATTATAAATTTTTTGGGGTTTTCTGCAGTTTTTGTTGTTGTTGTTTGTGGTATAAATAATTCCGTACATATTTTGCTACTTTTTTTTCTTAAGTAGTTTTTCCTACTTTTCCTTCTTTTAACACTTAAAATGCTGTGAATGAATGTGTGCATTTGTTTTGATTTTCTTTATGTTTTCGCATTTTTCCAACTTCGCCACCACCGAGATTCGATGAAATCTTCTCGTGTACTTCACTAGGGAGGAGAAGCAGCCAGCCTTTCGCTCTGGGATAAAAACGCATAAACCAGGCTAAAATACGTTAAGTTCAGTTCAAGTTGCTGACGTCGCAGCTTAAGCCCAAATGTAAACCAATTGTTAGTTTTAATGGAATTTATTGGATAAATATTTGTTGAGCTACAAAAATTGGTTGCGAGAACATTTTTGTCGACTTTTGATTTGAGATTAAAACTTTACAACATTTTTCGCAGCAGCAGTTTTTGTTGTTCGTGTTGTTTTAAAACAAAACCGCAAATTTTTAAACCAAAAGCCAAAGGGGATTTTCTACTTTCGTTAACCATTTATGGGGATTAAATAGAAAAGGCGATTTTCAGTTTATTCAGTTTATTATTTCGTTACTTCAGTTATATTGCGACGACACGCGCTTGAGGATACGCCGACTTCAGGAGATTTCATGAATTCTACAATAAATGAGGTGAAAATGTTTTTCAATTGAATTACAAATTTTCATTTTACCTAAGCGATTGCTATCATAATAATTTTAATGAAATAAAAACATATCATAATACACGTAACAACATTTAAAAAAATCATTTAAAATTAATAAAAGTTTCGACAAGTTTCTCTAAATTTTAGTTGGAAAATGGAAGAAGAATACGAAGAAAACTATCTTTATAATCAGAGTATTATAAAGCGCGTAGAAAAGGATCGATTTCGTCGTCGACTACTTAAAGTTTTAGCCCGAGCCTTAATTAGCGGTCGTCGTACTATTAATCCAGAAGAAAGTGAACCCGAAAGTGATGCTGACGAGTGGTTTGACATTGAAATACTGGAAGCGTTAGGAGACTTAGAGGTAGAAGATTTTGATATGCTCTCTCCGCAAGAAATCAACGTCATAAAACCGGAGAAGTCCCTACTTGAATGTGATGGTATTGAGCCATCTACCTCTTTTGCAGCTAGCGTGCCATTTAGGTATCCAGGTAAAAAGCCTCACTTAAAACCTTCAATATCCCTCGCAAAAGTTAAACGTTATTTATAGCAATTACAACATCATCCTTTATTTGCTTCATTTCCATTCTGGCACTGGCAGGTCTGATGTTTCGAAATGTAAGATAGAGAGAGAGAGAAAAAAGCTTGGAAGATTAGTGTTATCACTGAAATCTGAAAATCAGGGACTTATCAGGACTAGTGAAAAGACTAGCATATGACTTTAACTTAACTAAGAGAATATATTACAAGCCGTAGCGTCTAAGTTAATCTGTGCTCTTAGATAATGTTTACAATAGAAACATATTGCGGTATATGAAATACCATTAATAGCTTTATTTCCGTTTATTTTCCAGTGCTTATTGAAAATTTTGATATTAAAACGCCTATTGAGAACTTGCAGCATCTGTGGTATCAATAACTGTAATCTATAGTACTATATGAAAATCATACATTGAAGTTAAATGCTGGTTATTTATCGAATGATCAGAACTACTGCAATTTGAAGGAACAAATCCACAAACCTTGTACCATCGTTCATATCAATAACTGAAATCTATTACAAAACTAACCGCCTGCAGAAACTGTACATCATTCCTGATGTGATTAACTGAAATCTTTTGTACTTTTTTAAAATCCAATCAAAGGTTGCTGGTTTGTCATCCAATGCTCGTAGCTTACACTGTGTGTAAGACCCATCCTTGCTTAGTTTCCGCTGATATTATAAATAATCTTCTGTATTTTTACTTCCATTAAAACTAAAAAGAATAAAAATTTATTTGGCTTACAAACGATTTTGAAACTTTAATTTATACTTTTCTACACTATACTCTTTTAATAAAAGCATTAACCACAATGATAGATCTTCAGTAATACGAAGGCATTAATTCTTAGTCACTGTTTTAAGCATTGTGGTAATAATTACTCGCTTCTAGAGTGGTTTGATTACGTGGACCAATTATCTAATTTTTAGAAGTTCGTGATGAAAACCGATATCTTCTCCGGTTTAATTTTTTTAAACTCGTTAATTATATCTTTAGGTAATTGTTGATAGCTAAATATTTGTTGTGAAGTTATGCTTTCTGTATTCAAGCATTATAAAGAATGTAAATTTAAAAGAAAACTCTTGAGTAGCATAAAGTATACATCCAAGTAGTGTTTATAAAATATTTCATTAACATATGTATTGAAAATAAATTTTCAGTTACACTAACATAGAAAGCTAACGTGTTTACATAAACATAGAAAAACAAATCATTGCTAGTGACTTTGTTTTCTTTATTTTTGGTGAAGAATGACAATATACGACTACCATAAACAGCATCAAACAATAGATTTTTTAGGAGATATCAGTATATTCCCTGATACCTCTTATTTGTTTTTCTATGTTTTTGTGAATATGTTAGATTTCTATATTTAATTTTAATGGAATTTCTTGTTATAGAAATCAATGTATTGTTAAAGCCAGTTTGCGATGCCTTTATTGTCTCCAGAAATTGAGCTGTAGCGTCGCATCCTATATTTTGTCAAATATGCTTGTCAAAGCATGTCTTTAAGAAATATTTGATCGGAAGTTTACAATCTTTCTTGTAGAAGTTTTTGATCAATATAAGAGCATATATTTTTTATAAAAGCTTTTGAAGACATTAGTTTATTTAAAGAAATTTACGTAGATTCCAGAATTAAAAGTATACAACCTGATATCAAAAACTTAAACTCCAAAATATAACTATTAAGATGCTTCTATAATGGCTTATTCACACTGCTTTCGTTTCTCATAATTTATGTCATACAGTTACACACCGAATAAATAATTCTTATTTGCCTAATTTTGCTCACATATATAAGGAGTGGTTTTATTTATCTTCAACTTCTTCTTCTTTATTCCAGTACGTTCCCAGGGGCACACTGGGTCATATTGGGTTTTATTTATAATAGTTTGAAATTCATTCATTTTTCGAGACAATTGCAAAAAGACTGTGTCGTATTGACATTAAAAAGTAGAAATAAAAAAGAAGAAACTAATTATTGACTTCTTTTATGTATTATTTATTACAGTGTATATTCAGCTCACGAGAGCGGTGTTCGCTCTTGAGAAAACATATTTGTAAAATATTTTTTTTATTGGCATTTGAAAGAACTCTACGATTCTCGGGGGACTTTTCCGCTCAAGAGAGTTTTCGCTGTATATACGTGCTTAGTACGTAAAGAACTTTAATGATTTTAGTGGGTTTAAATCTCAAACTGTTTTTTTTTTTCATATTAATATAAAGTTCAAAAAAAAAATATAAAAAAACGATCTCTTCTGGAATATTTTATGTTAAGAAAGCAACCTTAAAGAAAATATAAACGACTGCAAATAAACTTATATCATATAAACTCTACATATCATATACGCTTAAAAAGTTAATTATAACATGAAAGCCCCGCGGCTACATCTAAACATTACTATATACGATTTAATGTGAAAATTTTTTTTATTTATGTACTTAAATTGTTCGTTTAATTTTAATGATGTGTTCTGATGAACAATAATTTGTGTAAATAAAAGCAATTCATTAGGTTTAACAAGCGAAATCGTTAGCTGAATTATGCGCTTAATTACGTCAATTACAGTGCATTAATTATTTAACAATTTCTGCTTCTGCCATGCGAATTTATGTCGAATAAATTGCTGTTGTTAGTTTTGATATAATTTCACACCGAAATCGAATAACATTGCAAATCACTTTTTTGCTAAATTAAAACAGAATATAAAACATTTAAAAATTATTCAGCAAATAACTGCCAAAAAACCAAATCGAAAGGCACGCAATTAAGAATTAAACCAAAAAAAAAAAAATAAAAATAGAAATGCAGTGTAAGTTTTTAACAAAATCGCGTGTAAAAATTCAATCTAGTGTGGCACATCGACACGTGGACTAACTTACACGCCTAACCACAAAAATTCGAACAAATTATCAGATACGAAATTCGGAAAATGTAAACAACTGCAAACGAATTCAAACACAAGTGGACATGCATGCACGCCAAAAATCGAGGCTTTTACACAATCAAACACTCAAACAGATAGCACGACATGCAGCATGCATGCACGTCGTGTAAAACAGTTTTGCAGTTAGGCATGCTTAGCCGCATGTTTGATGGCTGGTGCATGTGCCGCCACTTTGCTGTGTGTTGTGTTGATTGCGTTTGGTAACAGAATATTTCAAATAAATCAGGGAGGAAGGAGTATAAAATGGCGGCACATTTCATTTGATAATTAACAGCATAACAAAAATATTGTTTAACATTTAATAGTAATGCACAAAATTTTATTTAATTAAAATTTACTTTGCAGCAGATAATTTTGCTATTTGGTTAATTAAAACCAATTTTGTTATGGCAACACTGATTCGACCGTACTTTGTTGCCATAATACGCGCGGCACGAATGGAATATTCCCATTTTAAATTTTATGCACTGCCACTAAATGCAATATTACTTAACTTTTATAGTTGGTTGATTTGTTTTTGGTTTTGTTTATGGATGAAAGTGATCTAAACTCATTTGTAACACTGACTGACTGTGTTGCAAATATTAGATTTCAGTGCTATTAACAGGGATTACAAAGGATTTGCTCTTTTTGAGTGTGCATTGCACAACAATCCTCGGTTTTGCGTTATATCGATATTTTGTGTTAAATAATAATTGAGTTATGAAATTATTTTATATGGAATGAATATTACACAAAGGATTTAATTAAGCTATTGGAACACTGCATCCAAAATACAATCAATTTCAATCATTATTATTAATTAATTATTACGAAAATTACTTAAAGTAATTTAAGATTTCATTAGAATAAACTAACCTTATACTTTAATGATGTAGTCTTGTCTTATCACACAAAATTTAGTTTCCAAAAATATATTAATTTTCATATAATAAAAAGAGGGGAAAGCAAGATAAACAAGCTACTGGGCTCCCATTGGAACGGACCACCACAAATATAGTAGATCTGTGTTGCTAAAAAAATGGTGGAGGGAAAATACAAAGTTCATAACTGTAGATCTCTTGTGCCAAAAAAAAAAGAGGGAAGGAAAAAAAGTTAATTTCTATATTATTATATTTTTTTATTAATATTTATAATAAATTTTTTCCACTTTAGCATTGCAATCACACTGCAACAATGTTTGTGCAATTGTACTCCAATCAAAAGTTTATTCTATTTTTTGCTATTGGTCTTCGTTATGGAAATGTCCTTTTAGTTGGCACAATGCTAGAGACATCTTATGGTAACGCCAAACGCCCGTAAGCTAACTTCTAACGAATTTTTGAAATTTATTTTTATATGTTTTCGCTGTAAGAGCAGTAAATTTTTGTTGAACAGGAGATCAACATCCTTTTCACTTCATATCTAAATTGTAGTAGAATACATTCTAGAACTATAAATAAATTTAAATTTTATATTTTTATATTTATTTCTTGTAACGAATCTTTATTTTGTATTTTAATAATAATTGAATTTTAAGCCCGTTGGGCACAAATATTTAAATGCGCCATTGGAAATGGAAAAGTAGACTACGTACAGCATATTTGAGGAGGAAGCAATTTTTACGGATTTACTTATAAAAAACAATTGCCGACAAAATATATTTAATGAATAAAAATATAGATATAGAAAATAAATTATAGATTATAAGTTTTGCTTTCAGTAATATTATTTAAGTTGCATTAATTAAACTAAAATATACAATTATAAAACTTAAGTTTGAGTTTGATTAAATTAAATCAATTTCATAAACTTACTTTTAAATGCAAAGCATGAAGATCTACCAAAGCTAGTTCTGAGCCCCGTATATAAATATCAACTGTAGTAAAACCGCGGGGCATATGAAATGAAAGAAGATATTGATCATATAGTTTTTTAAATGCACTAAACTTAATATTAACTAAGTTAAATAAAAGTTCTATTATTATCATTAATAAATGCGCAGCCTTGATCTGGACCAGGAGGAGGTCACTGAGAGGAGAGCTGCTCTCTCCTTCTGACATTAGGAGTTCCTTAGCGGACAACATTCTGGTCTTCAGTCGAAAGGCGGAATGTCTTCTGTTCAATTAGGGTCTGTTAAAAGCACAAAAGATCAATCTGGTCGCAGTGCTCTGCTCCGTCGGGAGCTAGTACCCCGTTTATTTCTATCCTATCCTATCGTTAGTAAAAATATTAATATTTATATAACCAACAAAACCTAACCTGTTACTGGCAAGAAAATGGCTTTGACAAACTAAAGACCCGCAAAGAATGAAAATCAAGAAATGCAACTGCTTGCTGACCCCACATAGTTTACTTAACTTATGTAGTGCTCAGACCACTAAAACAACACCAACCTGGCATTATAAAACTGAATAATAACAACAACAAACATAAAAATAATGTTCAATGTTTTGCCTCTTGCTAATAAATACGAAATCTTGATTAAATCGGATTAATGGAAATTTATAGTCTCTGCAGATGCCAATAGGTTATATACCAATAGGTTATATATTACAACTTTTCTTGATAGAAGGTTATACCTCCACAAGTTCGTACATGCTTCGGATTAAAAAAGGATTTCATCCATGAAAAAGTGTAATTCACTCCTACAGTGAATATTGTAATCTATTTCTAGAGAATTACACAGTCAGTTTCTTGTAGACTTTCGTAAAAAAAGAGTAAACGAGGTACCATCACAATATCCTAAATATGTGCTTTGTAAATATTCTATGTCAGAAGTCATAGAGCGATGAAACATACTCCTATATAGTTGGAAGTAACATAGGACACTTAACACTATTATGCGTTGCTACAAAAGGAACGCTTCCAAAACCAAACAAAAAATATGGTGAAAGAAAATTCGAATCGGAAACATTATGCAGATTTTCGGGGCCAAGTCGTATTAAGTTAGCGAGATAAGATAAGCTACACTATTTAATCCCAACTTACGAAGAAATATTGATGTGTCAGCTGGACATGAAACGATTAACTTTAACAATGTACAGTTTTTAAGCATACTGATAATAAGAGCTTAATCCCCCTACTTCCCAAGGTATAACCACTTTCGAATAATGTAAATACCACTTCTTGAAAAAATATATATGTACCACACATTTACTTGCTTTTCACATATGAGTAATATGCATATCATCTAGAAAGGTATAAAACTTTTAGTAAATTTTAAATATTTAAAGAAAAAACAAAGGATTTACGTATCCATTCATTTCTTTACCTTTTTAAAACAATCAACATTTTTCATAAAAACTTAATTTTTATTAAATGTTGTTTCTTAAATGATATCTAATAAAAATTTCTTCATTTTACAATATTTAATCAAAATTTTTGTGCAAATAAATTTATCTCGATCTGTTTGAAAATTAAATTGAAAGTAATGGACAGAAGTGGATATCATGGGACTTCTATTTCAGACTTCTCTGAATCGGTTATTGATGAAGATCGCAGTTCGTCAGACATCATTCCAACAATTGATAATGTAGTTTTTCGTCGCAATCGTTACAACCGAGCGCACAACCAACGTTTCCATCATCGTCGCAGAAACCATATCAGCGAACTATTTGCTACCACTCAGGCGCCCATTGAAATTTTATCATCCAGAAATGATGCACGACGCAGGAGGCGTATGCGCCGGCGATATTATAATCGTTTGTATAGCCGTCATAGCCACAGACGTTTGCGAAGGGGTCGTCATGAGCATTTCAACGAATTACTTGCTCTCACTCAGTCGTACGATGAAAATGCATCTTCCAACTATGTCACCGAACGGAGACGTCGACAGTACGAACGTTATAATCGCAGGTATGACCGCGGCCATCGACGTATGCGTAGTGAACATACTGAGCAAGATGATTCTAACGAACTATTAGTTAACAATCAGTCTGATCATGAATTAGCATCATTTAGCAATGTTAACGGGCGACAATACGAACGCTATAATCGCAGGTATAATCGCGGCTATCGACGTATGCGTAGTGAACATACTGAGCAAGATGATTCGGACGAACCATTAGTTAATAATCAGTCTGATCATGAATTAGCATCGTTCAGCAATGTCAACGGGCGACAGTACGAACGCTACAATCCCAGGTATAATCGCGGCTATCGACGTATGCGTAGTGAACATACTGAGCAAGATAATTCGGAAGAACCATTAGTTAATAATCAGTCTAATCATGAATTAGCATCGTTTAGCAATGTTGACGGGCGCAGAATTGGACAGCATAACAGCTATGATTCTGGACACACTCTTGATGCGAGCAGACAGCATGCTATAGAAGTACTGCTTGCTACGCACCTTAACGATGAGCCTGCATCTCGTAACAGAACCACAATACATATCAGTCAATGGAGAAATCTCATTTACAACGGCAGGCACAACGTTCGTCGCATTCGACGTTTAAACAATAATCGAACTGAACAAGTTGGTCAAAGCAATTTATATTCGCATCAATCAAACGAATTACTTGATGCTAGTCCATCTCGCAATGAAGTTACACCCTCTAGCTATGTCGATTTGAATAGCCGTAGGTATAATCGTTATGGTCGTCAACGTTTTCTCAGAGGTCGAATCGGCCGTGATGCTCAAAGGGATTTAGACAGATTCGATCCATCTAACGAAACTGTATACTCCAGCAACATACCTACACGTAGAAGGCGATCAAATAATCGTCATTTCCTTAGTTATAATCGCTATAACCATCGACTTATGAGCAGAAGTCGTTCCCCGCAAGCTGACCAAAGAAATGTAGAATCCTATCATGAGTTGCTTACTCTTTCAGAAGTCCGCAATATATTTGGTGACACTGGTTTGCGAAGTAATACTGATCGTCGACAGAATCATCCAAGTTCGTACAGTGGTGAAAATGGGCATATGAACCATAATAGATTAAATTCATTGTCAAATCATGATGAAATTGCATCCGCAAGCACTGCTACTAGGCATAGAAGACAAGGCCATCAACTATTTTGGCCACGTCGAACTGAGAATCGTAATCCTAGTAATTTGTCATTACTTATACCAACAGATAGACTCTCTGAAGAAAGCTTACCCGATATTGTGGTACGACTTGATATGGACAATGGTGATGATGGTCCTTTTATATGGCAACAGCAACTTCGTAGTCGATCTGGTTTAATTAATTTAAATAATGCAAATGGTGATGATGATGAAAGTATTTACAGTGAACCAGTTCCTATTACTAGTGAGATGCTACAACAAATATATCCTCATATTTTACACCATTTAATCGAGCAAGTTAGTCCAGAGCCCTTTAATTATAACCAAGTTATAAAGTTTTACATACGAAATTCAAATGTAAGCGAAACAGACGTTCTTTATTCTCTTGTATCAAAAATCACTGCAGACCCTGGACTAAGAGCTAATAATGTGTTAAATGAAATGTTAGGTGTAAATCCCTCAACTGATCAAATAGAAACCGACTTTACCGCAGCTGGAGATTTTAATTATCCCATTTTTGATGAAGAGCTAGAAATAGAGAACCCAGATAACATTGAAGACGATCTCAATGATGTCGACGATAGAGGCATTATAATAGAAATTCAATTTCCACCAAACGAACAAAATAATGTCGAAGTTAATGAATAAGCTTAAATAATTGATGGAAGAGTTTCTTGTATGAATCAGTCATTGGAAGAGTTGGTTAAATGGTTTGTAGAAAGGAAGTTCATAAAGAAAACTCGAAAGAACAAAATTTATATTTAATACCAAAAAACCTTATTTTTAATACTCGGACTTAGAAAAATTGAATCGTTTTTAATTAATAAATACTCTTTCGGAAAAAACGCAGTGTTATATTATTTTTAATATAAATTTTTACATATTTTTTTGTACTGTTACTCATATACATAATGCATATATCTATAACGACCAAATAGAGATTCTCTCCAATTAAAGGAATTGTTACCCATTATTTAGTTGGGTATTAATATATACAGATGTGTTGATTAAATAGGAAACAAATTGTTGGTTAACTACCGTGTTAGTCCTGGGACTTTTCAGATGACTACGTACTATGAGTTTCTGTATGAAAATTATAGGTTATTTTACACGGTGATTTCTAGATCTAAAATAGAAATAATCGTGTTCAAAGCTTCTGTAAGTAGTTATCATGCTTTAAGTACAAATTCTTTGTGGTGTTAAAACGAGCTCACTACATAGAGTCTCAGTTATGGTTTAAAATTTTAAAATTGATTGGAGGGTTTCTTCAATACGTGTTGTCTATAGAGCATAGACAGGACTCATAGAGCGATTAAGCACATCATTATATAACTGAAGAGAATAGAATGTGCTTCACACTAATATGCATTAGGAGGATACTGTAGAAAGGACTTTAAAACAAAACAAAAAATCAATCGGAAAGATTTTTAATATTATAATAATGTTTACATTATTAGAAGTATTGCGATTTAATTGAGTATCATATTTCTTTTAATTTATGCTACAGCTAAATTCAGCAAAGCTCACTTTAGCTATTCTCTACAACTTTCTTGCAACTACTTCTCAGTTATTGGAGCTAAATTATTGGAAACCAGGTTTTATCACATTAAGGTAGTGGAATAGGGAAAGCTACATCCCAGCTCTCGAAGCAAAATTGTTGCATTAGGTGGACATGAGTCTAGATTTAACTTTAATATTGTAAAGTTAGCTCATGTCTTCTGAAAAGAGCTTCAAGCATCCTTTTATTTGACATTTTGGATGATGCCCTCTACTACTCTTTATAGAAATCTTAATCCATATGGTATAAATCAATAAGACTTTATTGAATTTACATCCATTTAAATTAGCTAAATGGTTTTACCGACTACAGTTACAACTGTAATATTTAAAAAACTGTTTCGAAATCGAAAGGAATTTTGTTAATTTATTTAAGTGTTCATTTAAAAGTTTATCTTTTTGATTAATAGAATAGAATAATTATTCTATTGATCTATTTTACTTAAATATACTTGAGGTTTTTTATGTTACATTGAACGAAAAGACAATAAAAACTTCCTAAATCATTTGAAATTCAATTGATACAACATTTGAATATATCAAAATTGTTTTTGCACCGAGGGACATATGTCATGTGAACAAGATTTTTATCATTCATCAATTCAAAACAAAGTAATGTGAACCAAAGCAAAACAATAACACATACTATATAGCCAACAATCAAAATACGACCATTTACTTAGCATTTATTTATTTTTATCTTTATCTTTATTTTCTCTTATCCTTTCAGGTCTCTTGGGTACGTCATCGTGACATTCATCTGTTGACAGTTGGACGTTACACCTACACATCTGATCAGCGCTTCGAAGCAATGCATTCACCACATGCCGAAGATTGGACATTGCGTATACGCTATGCACAACGCAAAGATTCCGGCATCTATGAGTGTCAAATTTCAACAACACCACCGATTGGGCATTCAGTGTATCTGAACATTGTTGGTAAGTCAGATAGATATGAGTCATTTATAACCGAAGAAAGGATGTAACTTCATAAAGAAAAAACCATAAAAGGAAATATGAGCATAAAAACCAAAGTTTAGAAAGGTAATAAATTTGAGAGAAGGCGAATAAAAAAATCTGGTTCCTAACCAAAGCAACATCCAAACGTGCCGCAAAATGCGTTTTAGTATGCATTGCACATTCATCGGATTAAAACAGTCCATTTTTTGTTTGCGTTCAGTTTGGCATTTCAGCCAAAGCCGTAAGAACATTGAGTGATTTGTTGTTATTGGCATTGACTGCCTGTTGGAAATGCTTAACATCTGTTGACCATGTGCTTCCACATAACTACGTTCTATCTATGGTTTTTTCATTCATTCGGGGAAGCTTGGGATCATATCGTTGTTTACAAAGTTTTATTTGTTTTCCTCTATGGCTCCCCATAGGTCATTTGCAGTTTATGACTTTACATGATATTTGCTTAAATCATTCATAAAAAATGTAGCATTCTAATATTTTTATTAGCTCTTGTTAATATATTTCAATATCAACTGAGATATCTACTATAAGTAGAATATATATTTTAGAAATGAATTTGAATTTATTAGGATTAAAATTGAATGTGGGATGAGTTGCTATTTCATATGACTAATACTACATTAATGGATTAAAGGCTTAGATACATTGTTTACAGAAAAATAAATGATTGTGGAAATTTTATAAATTATTTTCTTTTGCTATGCAAAAATCAAGCTCAGTATTTATTTTTAATACAACTTATTTCGTAAAGAGATTTCAAAAAGTAGTGAACTACAACAACAAAAATTCATTTTTATATTATTTTAATTAATTGAATTTTTGGCTGACCATACAGCTGTTTCGAGTATTGCCAAATACCCATCATCAGTTGTCTTGGAAATAATTTTTGTATTAAATCATTCGTAAATAATTTTTTGAGACTGCAAGTACCAGAAATCGAACTCGTGTCCTGCCAAATTTGAAACTCAGAGTCAGCGCTCCTTAACCAACTGACCCAAAGCCGTATTTGAAAAAATAAACATTTTCAAATTTTTATAATATCAAAACCCACTTGAGTCTTAGAACGTATTAATTATTAAATTCAGTTATATTTAACTAACTTAAAATTGTTATGCAAATAAAACTATTTGAATTGTCCATTTTTAAGTTATATATTCAGTGGACGCGCTTTTTTGTTACATTATATCTTGGTAAATGTTGAAAATGGATTCTGCATTAAAGAATATTTAATTGACAATGATTTGGTATAAAAGTTCAGTTATTTGAACTGAGATAGTTTCTGAAATATTTAGTATTCATAGGTTCACTATTAAGTATTTTATTAATAATTGAATAAATTTCGAAAGCCGTTTATTATAAAATGAGACTACAACACGAAAATACCAGGATA